TACCTATTGTTTAAAAGGCCCTCTGGTGGCGCAAGAAGACGGATTTTATAAAATAAAAAGCAGTTGAAACTGCATTTTTATGAATAAAAATTTGACAAACTATTTATCGTTTTATGATGAGTAAAATTTTTTATTCGCGTTCGCAGCTTTTAAGTAATGCATAAACCTACGAAACGCGAGGCCCTTCGGACCGCGAAGCATAGGCGGTGGCCCGCGTCGTCCATGCCTTACGCCGCCCTTGGTCATAGAAATGATGTAATTTGAATATAAATTATTTATAAATACGTATGTCAAGTTATATTTTTATTACTACGTAAAATATATTTAAGGGTTTACGACCACTGTGCAAGGTGAGACGTTGTTGAAACAAAAAAAGTTATGCATTCCATCACGTACATAAACAGTGTCGTAATTCGCCAAGTGCGAATCAGCAAATTCGTAAAATTTTTGTTTATTTTGAACAATCCGGATAATCGAAAATCCGGATAATGGAGGTCCGGATAATGGAGGTTCTACTGTATTAATTTTGCAGATCTTTCCAATGGCAGATAAATGATGATCAACAGTGGTTGCAACAAAGTGTCTCGCTTATTTCTTTCATGGGTTGGCTTTCACCAGCTGCCTCAGCTTATCATTTTGAAAGATGGAAGGCATTCCCAAATGTGGCTTATCGTTGACTTTAAATTGTCCAGCTTTAAATTTACTGGACCGATTGTAGACTTGGAGATGATATTCTTGCCAAATGATTGCATTATCCAGTGATAAAATTTAGCTACTTTTATACAAAATTGATAATTATAAAGCACAATATGAATTTGGTCAAGAGAAAATGGCAAATGTAACTTATTTAAAAAGTTGGTATTTTCATATAGAATATCTTTTCACTTATGATTGTGCATCTCAACACCCTTCATTTACATATCCCACAAGAAACTTCTAGATGCCATCTGTTGGAGAACAATTTCGAATATTCTATAGAGGTCTAGAAAGTTCCAGAAACTTTTGCACCAACGCAATAGTTGGGTTTGGGTTCTAAAGTCTATTCAACCTTTATCAGTGAATATTGAGAAATATTCAATTAGATTATTTAAAGGAACAATATTTATTTTTATATCTTCTTTTGATACCAGTGATGGGAAACCAAAAAATCTGTAATCACATTACTATTGCATGTTTACGATTGCAAAAAGAGTAATTTTTTAATCTTTTTATAAATTATTAATATATTTTAAAAAACTGGGTACTTATTTACATACCACTCACCAAATAAACCATCACCAGTTCATAACCAAACAGAAAAATTCTTGCTACAAATGTTTTCATCTATATGTAATAGACATCCTCAGGTATTGACGATATCGAACTAACAGCTAGTAGAATAGAATGTTTTTAAAAGTTCCAATTAACTATGTAATTCAAATACATTGCGTTAAAATTTAAAATATGTAAAATATTTGAAACATATCCGAATAAATCAATTAATTTCATGTAGATCATGACATAAATATTCTACTTAGTGGCAGGATGGCCGAGTGGTCAAGGTGGCAGCCTACCGCTCTGGGGGACCCGGGTTCGAATCTGAACGGGTCGAAAAATCCCCAGGAATTTTTTGGGGGTTGGTCTATTCTGATATGTCGGGCCCCGTCCCTCACCACCTGGCAGCCCCATTGTGGGCCTGGCCGAACCCATAATAGGCTTGCAAAAAGAGGCCCTCTTAGTGCCTACAGGGAGGAAAGAGTTTTAAAAAAATTTTTTTCTACGTAATTTAAATTATCTTTGATGCACATTTCAATCATTGGGATCTAGTTCAAAAATGGTGCACCATGCTGTGGAAAGCGTATCCATTTCTTTGATGTTAATACCGACCCCTTGTTTAATTGCCTGGTAGATCTCCAGCAATTCGAGGTACTTGAGTTGTGCTTTATCCGATACTCTGTGTAGTAATTTAGCATTCTGTAGTTCAATGTGAACATCCTCATTATTCGCATATGTCACTAATGCCGTCATGGTCGGCTAAAAACATTCTACTCTTCTAGCTGTTAGTTTGATATTGTCAATATCTGAGGATGTCTATTACAAATAGATGAAAACATTCGTAGCAAGAATTTTTCTGTTTGATTATGAACTGGTGATGGTTTATTTGGTGAGTAGTATATAAATTATTAAAATCTAATATAAAACAAAGTTAAATCTTCATTTCATATTACTGGAAGTTGTACTTTGAGAAATTTTATTATTATTGAATCATATTTGACATGCAATTCTTCAGTATATTGTTTAACTTTATAATTTAATATATGTATATTTTCAGAACCAGAACATCTGATGCAGGAGAACAGAAAACTGATAGTACTGATCCATATGATTTTCAAGCTGAAGATTGTAAGTATATCTTCTGTTTTGTTTTTCATTAATTGAATTTAATTAATTAAATGAGAGCATAAATATAATAAACTATTACATATATCATATATGTGTATAGTACAACAAAGGTATTAAATTTTAAACTATTAACTAACTGTTTAAAAGTAATCTTTGTAGACATATTAAAATAAAATATTTTAAGCCACTTCAATTAAAGAACATTTTCAGTCATAATCTTTGACTTATGAAGCTAACAATTTACAGAATACAGAGATGTAATATCAGATAAGTTCTTGCTTACAGTATATTTCAACAGTTTCCTGTATCAAAATGATGTCATTTTGACATAGTAAGCATGCTCTGCAAAGTATCTGCAAACAAGTTGATAAAGCTTTAATTTTTGTGATATCACTACTTGTATAGATTTGTGCCTAACCAATCTTAGTCTAGAACTATATTATGTGACATTCTACACAAACTGTTTAGTCGGCGGAAGAAGGGGAAGAGAAGGCGGGGGGTGAGGAGTTAGAAAGAAGAGAAAAGAAGGATCCCTCTGAGCAGTGTATATATGGTTACTGTCAGATATAGAGAGTTGGTGGAAAAAATAAACAATTCTCGAGTCTGTATTTTTTAAAATTGACTCTAACCCTCCATTCCTGGTTGCTACTCCCTGTACAATTAATGTTGGCATGCAGTTTTTAGGCTGCAAAGCCATGGGTATAAAAGAAAACCTGAATTGTAACATACATCAATAAGTAGTTCAGCTACATAAAAGCTAGACAGAATAAAGTTTAATGCTTAAAACTAAAGTAAAGACTTCAAACTAATAATAAAATAACACAGAAACTAAGCTAGCATACCCTGTAAGAAGCAGAATAACCTAATTGAAACATCTAGGAGAAACAGTGAATATTCTACAGAGAGCAAAATAACCTGAATTTAAAGTAAAAAACAAAGTTTCTGCTAGACCTAATCCAAATTACAGAGATGAAGCTAATTTAGCCTAACAAAATATAAACACTCAAACAAACAAACACTTTCTAACCAATATTGAAGAAAAGTATCAATCGACTCTAGAACACTAGTACTAACTAATAAACACAAAAAACAATGAAAACACACTGAAAATCGCAGATCTGATGATCCAAACAGCTTCTGCTAAAAGTCACCAACAACAGGTAAAGGAATCCAATTCTAATATATTTGTATTATGTTTGCAAATTCTCAGCATTTGAAACATAATACAAAAATATTTTTTAGCACATACATATACATAGTAAATTATTTTAATGAAAGGGTTATCACACATGAATTATATATCATAAAAAATTTGCAAACATATTCTTCAAATTGTTGTCTAGTTTTGGTCAACAGTTTACCAGCTATTTTTGTTGAAAAATTCAGTAAGTATTTGTGTGTGTCATCCAAACATTGTTGTACATTTTTTACCAGTGCATACTATTATATGCTTTTTTTGTTTGTTTGCACATACTCTTTAATCTGTTTGATTAAAGAGTATGTGCAAACAGTGCAACAGATGATACAGTGCATAACAAATTAAAAATCCTGCAAAAAACATAAATGAACATGGTTATCTTTAGTGCATCATGTGTCCAAACAAATTCCAGTTTATGAAACACTACCATGCCAGATTATTGGCTATTTTTCAGACGGTGCTGGATTGCTGTACATTCAAGAGTAACAAACTTCTACTGTATCTATTTTAAATTAATGAATTTTTATTAATTGCTGCATAATTAATCAAGCTTTCATAATTATTTATTTTATAGCCAATGATATTCCACCAATGAGGAAAGATAAATCAGAAGTTCCCAAAACACCTTCTGTTGAAGTTCCTAAAGCAAGGTAAATATTTGTATGAAAAGTATATCTAAAAGTAATTTTTCAGATACTTTATTTTAATACAGCAGAACTCTATAATTCATCAAAATAGTGAAATAAATGATGACAATCATCTACAAATAGATCTGGATTTAATTAAACTTATATTAACAATTAAAACCAGATTTATTCAGATTTTTTATTAAGTAAATTTGTTTTTGTTGCTGTGTTTCTCATTTTTTTGAAATGAAATCTTCATGAATGACACAGGTAAAGAGCCAAAAAGTGAAAAACTTAATGTATTTTTTACTTTTAAAGTTGTCCTATTCCTAAGTTTGGAAAGTGTTATCAGTTATGCTAGCAAAACCAGTTTTTCATCATTGCTTCTACAATGCACCATGAGTTTGAAATCAAATTTTAAGATTTTTATGGAAGGAAAAAGTTAAATAGTCACCTTTATTTTGTTTAACAAGAAATTTGAAAAAAGGATACAAATGCTATGAAACAAATAGTTATTGTATATGCAGAATAGCATGGAAATAGAGCTGCTAAACATTATTTATTTTAATGCTACATCGTGATGTTGTCTTAAAGGCATTAATTTAAACTATTGTTTGAACATTTAAAACTTTTTTTAAAAATAACAGCTTGTTACTAGTAAAGCTCATTTGAAGTAATGTGAAGCCAAAATGATGTTATTGGTGTTTGACACATCACATGGTCAATTCATAATGACTTCTGATTATTGTAAGTATATCAAACATTGCTAAGCCTGATATGTATATAGAAACATAACCAAACGATTGCCTTAAATAATTGGGCTATAACTCCACTAATTTAATGATTAATACTAAGTAATTTGCTACTTACTAGAGATAGATGTTAGGTGCCATCTCTATCTCTAGTAGCAAATTACTTAGTATTAATCGTTAAATTAGTGGAGTTATAGCCCAATATAGCATTTATTTAAGGCAATTGTTTGGTTATGTTTCTGATTGTTGTTTTGTTTATAAGACAGAGATTTGTCATAGAATCAATTATGTTTTAGAAAAGTGCATGTTAGTATCAAAGAAATGTTATATACAGGATATATACAAAAATATTGCACTAAGCTATTTCCTGCTTCTGCCCAGTATTAGACAAATAGAACTCCTTGAGAATACCTATATGTAATTGGTGTTATTCAGTGGTATATTTGCCATATCCCAATCCCATTTTCATAGGGATAAATCCTATCTCAGCTCCAATGAAAGATAGTGGCACAGTTTAAATTACAAATTCATAGCATATCTCAAAATTACTAGTGTTTCTTACCACTATCTTTCACAGAAACCAAGACAGAATTTGGCTCTTGAGAAGGGAGATTAGAAATTTCAAAATTTCAGGCATCCTTATAAGTACAGTAAGCATTTAGTATTATAGTACATTAACTTCACAGTTCACAATAAAATTTAGTAATAATTTTAGTTAAACCATTTGGCTTTTTCCTTCTTTTTTGAGTTCTGTATAATAACAGTGATAGCACTGCTATCATATAATACAGGTAACTCAGAATATGTGGATTTTGGTTAATGTGGGACTGTTTGCAGAAAGTTCAATATTGCTAGCTCAACAGAGTTCAGAGTTAGCAATGTTTAAATAATCCTTTCTGTCCACTTCTGCTTGCCATTAATTAGTAGGGAAAAGTGATCTTAATTTTCCTAGTGCAGTGCTTTTATTCAAATAGTTTTCTCTTTTTACATTTACTGTAATTTCTGAAAATGTTTCTATGAAGAAAATAAGAAGACAGCAACTATATAGGCAGTGCTTGATAAATATTTTGATTTCTTTTTAAAATATTTACTTCATTTTTCTTTTTTGGGTTACTTTAGTGGTTTGTCTAAATCAGTGGTTCTTAACTGGTGTTTGGCAAACTTGCCTCTAGTGTTTCATGAAAAATTTTAAAGTTTTTATTCCAAATTTATGTACTATAACTTATTACTTTATTTGTAGACAATTACATGTTTCTATTTTATTCAATGCAATAAAGTTTATTAGCTTATTGCTTCATTGTTTCTTGAGAATTGTAAATATGGAATTACCAATTTTTGACTACTCATTGCCATAAAAATTAGTGCACTGTGAAACTTGTCATGCAGATAAGTCTTAAGCAGATATAGAAATGATTAAGAGTTATAGCTTGCTTGTTGTGTAATGCCAGCAGAGGGTGTTAAAATACATCCTCCTTGATCTATGAAAAAGCATGCAAAGCATCCTGACTGTAGTTCACCTGTCGCAGAGGGACACTGTATCACTAGAAATGCCTTTATGTTGCAATCTAAGACCCTAAGAATAAGTCAAGATTGAGAGGGAAAGGATCATAAGGTTGAGAGAAGCCTGATAGTCGTCTTGCCAAATAGCCCACCACCTAGGCTGTTCTGACAACACTGAGGTGTTGGAACCAGTGGGTGAGAAAGAGCTCATAAACATGGCACCCAGGCTCAGGACACACTCAGCAGATCACTAGCCAAGAGGACCACTTTGTCTTCCAAAAAGCATGCACACACGGGACATTCCAATTTTCAACTCTGACTCAGCGCTGATCTCAACATTCGTTAAAATTCGTTCCTTTTTTCAACATTGAGGTAGCGCTGACTCAACACACTCAGCACTCAACAGATATGTTGACTGCTACTTTCCATTGAATTGTGGGTAATTGGTAAGACATTTGAATGGAATCCATCTTGCTGAGAATGGAATTATGGGAACTAAGCACTTCGTACTCTAGTTGGAACGTCGTTGATGACGTTCCAACCCGACAGCCATCATTGTCCACCATCTGGACACAGGTGGCACCACCATTACAAACCATACCATTTTGAGGCACCTGGGTGAGGAACATTTGGTATTGCAGCAGCCATTATGTGGGCTCCCATTGACACCACTCACCATTGCCTCCATTTGGAGTGGTATTGATCCCAATGGGATTGGACCACAATGGAATGAAACAAAGTCATCTACAGTGACAAATCCATCATCAGTGTGGGCACTGATGATGGATTTGTCACTGAAGGTCTTGTGATAAAAGCCTCAGTCCTGCTTAAACTTTGTAGCAACACACTGTTCCACAACTGGTGTGATGGTGTGGGGTGCCATCACATACAACAGCCAGACACCTCTAGTAGTGATCCAAGGGACCATGACAGCCCTGTGGTGTTAGTGATATCCTGCAGCCACATCTGTTGCCTCTCTATGGCAGAACTCCCAAGACCCATTTTCCAACGGGATAATGCTCCGTTGCTATGACACACAGCAACGGTGTCATAGGACTGCCTGGGATCACCTGGGATACCAAGTTGTAAGGCCTAGGAGTTTGGCCAAACTAGAGGACCGCTTGCAGTAACTGTGGACTGAAATGCCACAGGACACAATACTGCACCTGTATGCTTCCATGCCCACCTGTATCACATCATGTTTCTGCACAATACAAAAGACCCTCCTTTCTTTTGTAGTTTTTCCTGCAATAAATGATTCTTTTGCTTTCATTTTGTAATCACTTAACTTATATCACCATTACACTCACACATACAATTTTGTTCAATTCTGACAACTTCTGGGTGCAACGAGTGTATATTGATACTAATGCTTCACATAATAAAAAGTATATGAATGATGTTCTGTAGCCTCAAAGGTTGAGAACAATTGGTCTAAATGCTCTATTATCAATTTTTAACATTACAGTAGAGCGTCGTTTATCCGAAAGAATTCCAGTCGGCAAATTTAAATTTTCGCTAGTGCTGTGGCGCTGCAATCTTTGGCTATGTCTTGGGCTACTCAAATATTTTACGTTTTTGATACTAGATTAACTTCTGAAGTATAATTTTTTATTGTTTTTATATTTTTCAATATATTTATTTTGTTTGTAAAAAATAAAGAAATAATTTTTAATGATACAATAGCCACGATTATTATTTTAAAAAGTTTACATTAGGCTTAACATCAATGAAAATTCAACAGGAAGCGACACGAAACGGAGAAAAATTTCAACATGGGATAGGTTAATATATTTTTTCGTACATAATCGGTTATCTGAAAAATAAGTTATTCGAACAACCCCAGTCCCCAATTGATTCGGATAAACAACGCTCTTCTGTATTTTCCATTTTTGTATGCAACTATACTGTTGTCAAATCTTTAATAAACTATTTTAATTTTATTTCTTCATTCTGCCTGAACAAATATAAATGTAAAGTTAAAATTTCAGCCTAATTCTTAATGACTTAATTCATGAATTAATTTAATTCCCAATGATTGCTAATTTCACTATATGCAGTATATTTGCAGAACTATTTAATTGTATATACATAAGAATTGAGTTAACATCAATTTGACTTTTTAAAATAAATATATGTTATTAAAGGAAACAAATATTAAAATTTATGTTTTATCTTCCACCTGGTAAAAATGGGTAAGATCGGCTATAATCTAATAATCTTAATTTTCGCCTGAGCAGTTCAGGGCTCATCTGCTAGTGTTTAAATATTATACAGGATTCATATAGTAGTGCTATTTACAAAATAATTCATCTAAATTTATTTATTTTTTAGATTAAAAACATTCCGTTCTTTGTTATTTAAACTCTTCACTAAGGAGCACAAACAATCGGTTGCAGTATCAGCAGTTACTGATTTTGTCACAAAAGAATCGCCAGAAGAATTGTTTACTCCTGAAGAAATAATGGCTGCACTCAATATGATGATGGACAGTAATCAAGTTATGGTTGCTGAAAATACAGTCTTCCTCATTTAATGCTATGTATAAAGTATTAATTTCATATAAGCGCTTTATATTTTCTTACTACTTTTTGTAATTTTTTTAAAATTAAAAAAAATTTATAAGTATTATTTTGCATTGTTAATTTTCTCTTAGAATAAAAATGAACACAAAAGCTGTCAAATTCAAATAATTATATGTTTTTATTGCTGTATTTTTTCTATATTTTAAGTGCATATTATTAAAATACTATTAACATTATAAATTGAATTATTTTTATTACTTATATTTCTGAGAATATTTGTAAATTCTAGCCTCAGAAAAAAATACAGTATTTTAATAATATGCACTTGAAAATTTGATATATTGCAATGATTTTTATTTCACAATAAAAATAAAAGTACACCATTTATGAATCAGTTTCTTTTATTGGATTATCCAATTTGCGCGATCCTTCCCATTTGATAGATAAATAGTCGACTCTTCCAGATGGTTTTACAGTTGCCAACACTGCTGTTTTCTTTACATGGGTTCCTAGTCTACTAAGTGCAATTAACCTAAGTGGTGAAAAAGTTTCCTCATACTGCACACATACAATTATATACAAGGCGTGGTATAGTGTTGGATTTCCTGTCATAAAATAAAAGTAGCATTAGTATTTGGAACATGTTCCCTTTAAAATGTAGGGTGGCAAGAACTGATTTACTATGAATGCCCTATTCTAAGCCATTTGTAGAATAAAATACAAACCTGCATAAGCCAAAAAATCACCTCCAAATTTGATTCCTGGTGTAATATAATATCCTTTTTCCCACAAATTGCAAAATACAGCATATTGAAGCTTTTCTTTATCACTATTCATAAGCTGCCAATCATTTTTACAAACTTCCATATTTTTCCAAGGACATTCTAATAATACAAAATTTATAATTTTTTGTTAAGTATAACTGATCTTACAATATTTAAATTATTTAAAGAATTCTTTTATTCAAGTTATAAGATGATGAAAAGTAAAAACAATGAAGGAAACAAAAAATTTTGAAATTCCTGACATTAATACATCTATCTGGTTTATTTATTTATAGATTTCATATAACTCAGCAAATGTACCATGAATATTCCTAATTTTTTTGATTAAAATCATATTTTTTTCTATCCACGATTGGATAAATTTGCCAAGTTCTGTGAAATCTAAAAATGTTTGAAATACATAAAAACGGAAATGTATTTGCTTTAATGGAATTTAAAATCCTCATGTTTTAGCCAAACCTGCTTCAGTATACATGTTATATTCCTAAAATTAGTAATTTTAATTTATTTTTCAGTGTTTTTTTAAATTTTATTTTATTTTGTGTACAAAGTTAACAAGACAACAAACTAATTTTACTCCAATTTCAATGATTTCTGAATAATTCCTAATGTCAATAATTCCTAATGCTGATTTTCAATGATTTATGAATAATTCCTAATGTCAATAATTCCTAATGCTGTTCACAATTAGGAATTATTGACATTAGGAACAGCATTAGGAATTATGACAGTGACCAGTGACTCCCTGTCAAGTAAAAAAGTAACTGACTATATATGTGGGAATCAGAATTGCTGATTTTCAAGGGTCGATTTCTCCATCCCCAAACACCTGAAGTAATTCGGAATATCTGGTTTGAAAGAAAATTGTTTTCTTAGGTAGTGTGCAAATTTCAAGATTTTCTGTAATGTCGTTGCCAAAATATAAGCAATTCAAAAGCACAAAAACTGCCAAAAAAGCTGAATTTTCTTCTTCATCTGGCACTGCAGATGCTCACAGAGAAAAAACTACTGGGTCTAGAAATCTCAAATTTTAAATTTAAGCCTTTCTTATTATTGGTTAGGTGCTAGTCAAACTTCCTGGTCAATAGGTCAAAGTTCATGGGATTTCCCATAGAGCTAATTCAGTTTTATGGCTTAATTTTATGCTTATAAGAATAAAATTGCATGGAAACCAAATGAATTTTATTCAAAATGTTACTCAGAATTACAAAAGCTCAAATTTATGTGATTTAAAACTTTTTATAACAATCTTTCTAAATGGTGTATTGAAAGCGTCAGTCAACACCAACAAAATTACATGTTATTGTTTTATGTCTTGATGTAGTAATACAATTATTAAACAAAAACATCTGAGATGTAAAAATTTATGACAATTTAGACATGAGTCAAAATTTTTCTTATGAGTTTTTCTTTGGTAAAGATAAGCTTGGTGATTGGAAGTGGTACACACAAGATTTTTATCTGTATTATTGTTTTCTACATATTGCCTCCAAGTGCCAAGCTTATCTTTACCAAAAAAACTCCAAATAAAAATTTTGACCACTCTAAATCATCATAAATTTTTACTTGGTGTAATTTTTTTACATCTCAGATGTTTTCATTTGGATAAAAAGGTATGTAAAGTAATCTTACCCAAATCCAATATTACCTATAATTGTATTAATTAAAAACTAATTTCTGTAAAAATTTAAAAATAGAAATATCAACAATGGCTGATAGATTATTGAACTGCAATTTGAAAAAATTATAGACCTATAAATTCCCATTTGCTGTTTATCTGTCCTTCATCTCAAGAACAATGTTAGATAGACAAAAGTCAAGACCAGATATGGAAAGCTTAGGGACAGTTAGTCCCAATTAACTATATACAAACTTCCAGTCTTAACTGGAAATCATGTGATTTCAATTTAAAAATTTTCCCCAGAACAGAATTACATAGATGACCAGCATGACACTGTTATTATCAGGAAAAGTATGATATACAGGGACAAGACACTACCAATTTGAGATCAATAGCATATATTTTAAATCAAATAAATCAAAACTTGGAGTCCAGTATTGTGATGTCACAATAATTTTTGCTCATTCCTTTTACATAATCATTTCAAAATTTTAGCAGTTAGAATCAATTCAAAGCAAAATTTACAAATGAGATTTTTTCCAAATTTCACTTAAACTTTAAAAATAAACCAAAAATATACTGTACAACAGGGGTGGCCAACAAGTCAATCACGAAGCCAATTTTGGTCAATCACTTGTGATGTCTTGACTTAATGTGTTACACTTGAAATCGAATGCAATGCGTGAACGTACATGCAAATGCAACTGTAGTGATATTGGACCTCCACGTCCTCCAACAGATGCAGCTTTGTTGGTCCATGTGCAATCCATTTGCATACAGTTGTAAAAGGAAAACCAGAAATGTCGACAAAGGTGTCACCCTTTGTCTACATTTCTTATTTCCCTTTTACCGAAAAAACAAAAAAAAAAGAAAAGCTGAAAGAGGGACAGAGAGAGTAGGTCAGGACAAGAGGAAGGGAGAGAGAGGAAAGGTGAAGTGGTGGTCTCCAAAACTCACAACGTTGAGTTTCAATTTTTCTTCTGTTTAAAATGTAAGTACCTTTTCTTCATGTTTTAAATTAAATTGTGGCTTTTCTTACCTATCTAAACATAGCATATATTTCATACCCCCCTCGCCACTTAGACTATGCCTACGACAACAAGTCAATTGCAACACATTTTTAAGATAAAAAGTAGATCTTATGTATACAAAAGTTGGCCACCCCTGCTGTACAAGGCAATTTGTTTCTATTTATTTTATTTCCAGTTGTAGTATTTTATTCTCATGAATCTGAAATTGATATTTTTACTTTCTCAAGAGAACCAGAGTTACAAAAATAAAAAGCAGTATCATACAATTCATCCATCTTAGGTAGTATTTAAAACTGTCAGTTATAATTAGGAAAGAGAAAATAAATCATTATTGGTGACAAGATTCTTCTTTATATGGTAGGAAAAATAGCTTTATTAATTTTCCTTTATTATATTTAAATACACAATTCCATTTAAAAACTGTGTAAATATGAAAATATTTTATAAAAGATTTTTGGAATAAATTACACATTTTAAATTAATTTTATAGTCTTTTGAAGTAGTTTTTGCTTTTACATTTCCAGGGTATTCTTTCATTTTGTGAAATGAAAGAATATCCTGGAAGAGAATAAATTAGCTCTGTTATCAATATCATTTTCTTATTTTTAGTCCTGAAATCTAGAAGTGATTTCAGGACTGATTGTGAAACACTGTAAATATTGAAATTTTTATATCCACAAGAAAATACTCATTTTTGTAAATAACCTTTATTTACCTGTATCTCAATATTATAAAGTATGTGATTATAATGCATACAGTATTAATCACAAAAATGAATTGCATGCAAAGTGTGACAATTTAATTCCTGGAATAGCCATGTGGTGTTGCCTGTGACATAATTATATTGAAGTGACATGCACATTCATGTTCGAACATGTTTGAACTAATACATACATACATTTCAAGCTGATAGAGCTAGTTGTTAATTAGCTAATGGGAAGGTAATAGCTATCTGTATGTACTCTTCGGCATAAAAACGAGTGACTAAAATTTAAAGCAACATATTAATATTAAATTTTGTGCAAAAATTGGCAAATGTGCTGCTGAGAAATTGCAACTGTTGCAAGTGGCATATGGTGAAGATGCCAGTGTGTTCGAATGGCATAAGATTCAAAGCTGGGTGAAATGTGAGAAGAGACCCAAGAAGCACAGCCAAAAACAACAATGGTGGTTGTTAATATTAACAGAGTGCAAGATTTAGATTTAGAACACTACTACTTAGAAGTATTGCAGAGATTACAAGATTCTGTTTGAAGAAAAAGTCCTGAACTGTGACCCAACAAGTGGATCATTCATCATGATAATGTGCCAAGTCACAGTGAGACATTTTCTGGGCAAAAAAAAAAAAAAAGCAATTATCCAATTAGATCATCCTGCCTATTCATCACCTGAATTAGCTCCCTGTGATTTCTAGCTATTTTAAAAATTAAAAGAGCACTGAAAGATTTTCTAAATATAACTGATATTCGACAGAACGTGAGATGGCTGCTCAACAGTATTCCAGAAAATGAGTTCCAGGCTTGCTTCCAGAAATGGGAATGCCATTTAAGTCAATGTATAGATGCACAAAGAGAGTGACAGTAGCCACTAGTGTACAGTTCTGCATGTACGTGGTGCATTCAAGTTATAACACCTCTAATTTTTTTCTCACAAACTAATCATACAAAAACTGTGAAACTTGTGTTACTTCTTGACATAATCTCCCTGCAGCCATACACATTTTTCACAACATCAACACCATGATTCCATGGCCACTGTGAATGCTTCTTTAGGAGTCTGATTTGACCACTGGAAAATTGCTGATGCAGTAGGGGCATGGCTAGTGAATGTGCAAGCACGGAGAGTGTCTTTCATCATTGGAAACAGCCAAAAGTCACTAGGAACCAGATCAGGTGAGTAGGGAGCATGAGAAATCACTTCAAAGTTGTTGTCACAAAGAAACTGAAGCGTCACGTTTACCTGATGTGCTGGTCTTTTCAGGTCTTCATGCAGGATTGTGTGCACAGATCCCACAGAAATGTACTTTATAGGCGATGTGTTCCACACTCATTTGGCGATCCTCCAAAACAACTTTCTCCACTTGCTCGATTATGTCATCAGACCAGCTGGTGCGAGGCCAAGATTGTCTTGATTTGTTGTCACACAATGTTCTGCCTTCTTTGAACTGTTGCACCCACGAATGCACATTAGATACATCTATGACACCATCACCATATGTTTCACTCAACTGGCGATGAATTTCAATTGGTGTCATACCACTCAAATGGAGAAAATGAATGATTACACGCTGTTCTTGTAATGAAAACATTGCCATTTTAAGTATCAAAAACAGTCTTCATTCTCGCTGCTGCCGCTAGAGTTCTGTGTGCCGTACAGTGCTACCATCTCTGTCATGCATTCACAACGAGTGCACACGTATTTTAAAACAGACCGCATGTTTCTATCTGTTTCCAGT